ACAGGGAAAGGCTGGCCAAATAGCTCAGTGGATTAAAGCACCTGCAAGCAGGCGCATGGGCCTGGGGTTCAATCCCCGGGTCTGCCATGCAGGCCCCAACCCCACGGCACGCTGAGACAGCATTTGAGACGGCATGGTGGTGCGTGCCTGTAACCTCAGCTCCTGGGAGGCTGTAAATAGGCGGATCATTACGAGTCGGATCTAGTAGTGAGACCCTGAACACCCTGTAGACCCTTCCCTAAAATAAATAAATAAATAAATAAAATAAAAAATAAGGAGAAAAAAGACAGGAAAATTAGAAGATCAGTCTGCGAGGCCCCATAATTGATGATTCCAGAAACAGAACAGAGGTAATGAGGAAGATTCACCCATGAAAGAAGAAAAGAAATTTCCTAGAACTAAAGGATATAAGGTTTTAGATTAAAAGGTCATGCTGGGATGGGGATGTAGCTTGGTGATCTAAGCACCTGCCTGGCAAATGCATGGACCCGAGTTTGATCCCTGGTACTGCATGCCGTGCCAGCCCTGGCACCCTGAGTGTGCTGTGCCTGCTGGTGCACATGCCTGTAATCCCAGCGCTGGGGAGGCTGAAAACAAGAGGATCACTACAAGTCTGAACTGTGCAGCAAGATCCTGTACTGAATAAATAAAGACTTTTAAAAATGTTAGAAAGAGGTCATGCCGGGTGTCTGGCATAACAACTAGTGATAACTAGCATAAGTAAGCTTGATGCCAGAGGGAAATTTCAGAACATTCAGACAACAGAGAAATTCTTAAAAGCTTTAAGAACGAGGGGAAAGAAATCTCACTGACAGATTCAGGAATCAGAATGGCTTCCTACCTCTCGACAGAAATGCTGCAAACTAGAAGGAATGAAGCAACATCATCAATATCTAAGTGAAATCTAATTTACAGCACTGTGCAGCCAAACAGCCTCAAACAGTGAGGGTAGAATAGAAGCCTGTTCAGCCTCCCCAGCCTTGTATGTCCCCTGCACCTGCCCTTTAGCTCCTGAAGGATGTGCTCCTGCGTGGCGCAGGGGTAAGTAAAGGAGAAGAAATACAAACCATGAAGTGCAGCTCATAGCACTGAGGAAGTAAAGGCGAAGCAGGGTCACCGGGCAATGGCACGGGGCAAATGAGACAGCCGGCATCCCGGCTGGCGCTGGAGGAAGTGCTCTGGGAGAGAGGTTTCCAAGGAAGAACAAAATCAGTAGATGACTGGATGGATTAGAATAGCTGGAGGAAAACGTAGCAATGAATATAGAGAAAGGGAAGTGATCTCGAGAGTAGGCATTTGACCATCTGTATGGCTTCCATAAGATCATGTTATAAACCTCAAATATGCACCATATAGTTGATTTTTAAAATAAGCACCATCTCCCCAAAGCTAACCATTCTCTTTTAAAAACTTGGCATCGTTGGGAATTAACCCCCAGCATAAGTTCTCTGTGCCTCAGAACAGAGACTCGAGGAAGTTAGGTTCTGGAAGAAAGAGTTAGATGACAAGCTCGAGCAACTTGTCCATGAGACCGAGGACCTGCTGTCCTATAAGAGCCGACTGGAAAAAGCCCTGGAGAGCTTTAAAGAGCCCTTGCACATCACGGAGCGGTGCCTGGAATACAGGTAGGAGGGGAGGTTCCTGGGTCGAGGCATCTGCTGTGAAAAAGGCAGTGCTGGGTGGCAAGAGCTGGTGGTGAGAGGTCGTGGGTTAGGAGGCAGATAGGCACATGCTGTCTTGGACCCTGACATTCCCCCAGCATGCTGTGCTGCTGGGCAGTGGAGTGTCGCTTTTCGCTCTTAAATAGTTAGGACTAAGTTTGGTTTAGGTATCAGACAACTGCAAAATGATATTAAGCTTTAACAACATAGTTTCTCTCTTGTATTCAGAGTCTAGAGATGGTTTGTTCAGGTTGGTGTGCTGTGTAACAGTTTTGGGGTCCAGGCCTCTTCTATCTTATTACTATGTTGCCATTGGCTCTCACTTCCTAGGTTACCTTGTGATTTAAAGTGGCAGCTGGAGATGTAGCCCTTATGCCCACATTCTTCTGCACATAGCAATAAGTAAGGCCTGGCTTTGACTATGTCTATTTGTATCTCGTTGATCAGACCTTAATCATATGGTCAGACCAACTCAAGCTGGGGAATGGTTATCTTTGGTTTGGGCAGCCAGGTGCTTGGCTAAAAACCCAGGGGTTCTGTGACCAAGAAAAATGGTGAGAACTTCTGGATGTGGTGGCACGTGCCTGTACTCCTTGCATTCAGGAGGCTGAGGCAGGAGGACTGCTGTGAGTTCAAGGCCAGCCTGAACTACCTAGTGAGACCTTGTCTCAAAAAAACCAAAGCCAAACCAGAAGAAAACAAACAAACAAACAAACAAACAAACAAAAAAATGGTGAGAATAGATCCTATAGATACTACGTACCAGTAAGTCTGCTCCAATGTGCTTGGCCACACAGAAGAACTTTGTATTCCAGAGAGCACTCTATGGTTGTAACTTTTTGTAATTTAGGGAAGCGTCTACGGGTGTTCAGGGTCTCACTACTAGGTTGGACTCATAGTGATCTGCCTGTTTACAGCCTCCCAAGAGCTGGGATTACAGGTGCACATCCCCATGCCCAGTCTCAACTGCTGTCTCAGAGTGCCCCAGGGGCGGAGCCAGCACAGCAGGCCCAGGAATTGAACCCCTGGCTCTGCACCTGCTTGCAGGTGCTTTAATCTGCTGAGCTATTTGGCTGCCCCTGTGGTCATAACTTCTTATTTTTTTCCTTTAAGGCTATGAGCAGCCTTTCCCCCTGCTGGGGAAAAGGCTGGGTGATGCCAACCTCTAGACCTGACCCCTGCCGTAGCCCTGGCTGGAAGGGCCTAATAGGTCTTTTCCCTGGTGCCATAGCCCCCTGCAATCCAGTGTGTCCTCCACACTGGCTATGAAGTGAATTATTCCAAATGCAGATTTGTACACATCACCCAAGGCTTAAACAACCCTTCAGTTACCACCGTACGCCTCAACAGCTTCAAGATAAAGCTCAGGCTCCTTAACTTGGCAAATACTAAGCTCACTGCAAGCTCCAGTTCTCAGCCCCGATAGTGGGATGTGCTTAGGGGTGCTGTGCTGCCGGCGCTCTCCCCAGCGCACCATGCCTCTGCCCTCCTGAAGCCCTCTTTCCTCCGCGATCTTGGTTGGGACCCTCTGAGTAACCAGGCAGCAATCTCCCCAATCACAAGCACAGGAAACAAATCAAGGAGCTCAGGATACCTAAATGGAAGCCTAAGGAAAATTATAATACAGAGGTGGTTCAGTTTGTTTAGCACATGCCATGTACCAGGTATGCATGGTATGCTTTCTATGTCATCTGCTCTTTGCCATAGTTCAATGAAGTACTGTCAGTTGCCCCCACTATACAGAAGAAAAAACCCAGGGCACAGATCAATTATATAACATGCTTCAGGCCATGCAGCAAGCAGTTAGTGGGAGCTCTTCTTTCTTCTACTATCATGGAGGGTAGAAAAAACAAAGTATCAGGCAGTGGGGTCAGCTTGGGGGATAGGATGGCCTGGTGGTTAAAAGCATGCCTAATGTGCAGTCTGTGGTATTGGGTAAGTTACTCTGCCTCTCTGACACTGTTTCCTTATCTGTTCTTGAAACATTTATGTGGGAATGGACTGAGGCAGGCAGATTGCATGTTCAAGCCCAGCCTGGGTAACTTAACATTTCTCAGGGTCCTGTCTCAAAAAATGTAAAGGGTTGGGCGTGTAAGGACTCAGTGGAAAGCCCGGGGGCTTATCTGGGCACAGTGCTTGTCCCACACAAGGTGCTCAATGCTAGAGGTAATATTAATATTGGTAGTTTTACTATTAGTTCTTATTATAATAAAGCATTGCTTTGGATTCAATTCTTTGATTTCTTTGAAGTTTGGAATCAAAGGTGGTAGCATATGTCTTTGAAATTCTGTCCTAAGGCAAGGTTTCCAGTGAGTAGATAAGAAGGGACAGACTTCAGAGCTGAAGGCCCAATGCATGAGGGGAGGGTGGATTCCATTTGTTTTTTGGACCCAGAGGTGAGTCCCCATCAACTGTTTTTCCTTGGGTTTGGTGTTTTTTGTTTTGAAGTAGCACCGTCACTAACTAGTGCCCATTCCCACTGCATCACCAGAGGGCTGGGATGGTGCTCTGTGCTCTGTGGTTTGGGGAGCTTTACACACCTTGAGCCTCCCCCAACTCCTGCCAGGGAGAAGCGTGTGGGGATTGATCTGGTACACGATGAGGTAGAGGAGGAGCTGCTGAAGGAGGCTGAGATCATTCGGGGTGCCATGGCTCTGCTGACCCGAACAATAGAGGAGATGTCGGAGCAAATCAGGTATAGCTGTCCTGGCCTGTCTGCTGTATTCACCAGGGCTGGGCTCAGGCACAGAGGGATGGAGTCAGCCACTCCCACAGACTGTCTATGTCCCCAGGTAGCCCAAAACTCATGGTGAGAACTGGCTGTCCCCTTTCTCCATATGGTGGTTGCACTAGGGTGGGGGTGGTGGAGGGGCTGGATTTTATCTGTGGTGATAAACTGGAGGATGCTGGAGCCCCTTGCTGCCTGGGCTGACCCCTCATACTTTGGCACCATGGTGATGTCAGAAAATGGTTATGTCACTTTGTCACCAAGGATCAAATAAGTGCATTAGAGGGGTGCAGAGATAGGGCAGACGTGTGGTCATCAGTGACCCAGCTAGCCTGAGCTTAATCTTTCAGGGCCTCTCTAGGACCTCTAGGTGCACCTGGCTTTTCCGGAGGGAGAAACCCACTTACCCTCTCCCTTCAGGCTGAACCGCTTGGCCAAGTACAATCTAGAAAAGGATTTGAAGGACAAGTTCACGGCCCTCACCATTGACGACATCTGCTTTTCGCTCAACAACAACTCACCAAACATCAGATGTTCTGAGAACGCCGTGAGGATTGAACCCAAGTGAGTAGGGTTGATGCTAAGTAGTGCTGGCCTGGGCCCAGCTGGGAATGTCCTGGAGCCCCACGGAGAGGAAGCACCTGCCGAGCCAAGGGCCAAACAGCGCTGGCGCTGGTGTAGTACTTAGCACTTTCTCGCACTTGGAGACAGTGACAAGGAAACCTTGAAAGATTTAACATTTATTCTTTTATCTATTCATGTTTTTAACAATAACAGATTCTAAAAATATGTAAAGGATGACTTAAGAATTTCCCCCATCTGCCTCTTTCCATTTTCCAGTCCTCAAAATAACCAGAATGACCTGTAGGCTCATGTAAGCATACCTATCCATACTCCACACATAAGCCAATTGTGTTTAGTTTGAAAAAAATGAAATTATTGCATGTATCTTTTCTGAAACATCTGACTTGCATTTTGCAATTAATATCACAATGAATTTAACTCATTTTAGTTTTTTAAAAATTTCTTTTTGAAATAAAATAGACATACAGAAAAGCACACATTATAAACATAGTTCATTGAATCATTATTGTATTAACTGTACTGTATAACAAATTACTCCAAATCTCAACAGCCTAAAGCAGTAAATATTTATTAATTTGATAGATTTAGTTGGGCGCAGTTTGGGTGGGTTTGGTTGGTGCTTGTGGCTCAAGGTCTCCTGTGCGGAAGCCGAGTGGCAGCTGGGGCTGCAGTCTATCTAAAGGCCTGGATGGCGCGGGGTCCATGTTTTCTGCCCCCAAGTAGTGATGGCAGAGCTCAGCCCCTTGCCACATGAGCTACTCTGTGGAAGAGTTTCATGACATGGCAGCTGGCTTCTTCCCCTCTAAGGCACCTAAGTGAAGGAGAAAGATGGAGCTAGAAGAAAGGAGGAGAGAGGAAGGGAGAGGGAGGCCCAAGACAGAGGGTTCCATCTCTTATGTCCTAATCTCAGGATTGACAGCCCATCCTCCTATTGTGAGAAACGTTTATTTCTTATTCAAGCCAATGAGGCTACACGGAAGTGCGAGTATCAGGAGGGAGAGGCTGCTGGGGACCAGAGGCCGTCCCAATCGCAAAGTGGGCAGACTTCCTATTTTCTGGCTTAATCAGGGATAAATAGATAGATAGATAGATAGATAGATAGATAGATAAATAGCTACTACCACTACCACCACGACAGAGCCCCTCACTGTCCCCTTCTGTTCAATAATTTTCTCCACCCCAAAGGTAGCTACTCTCCTGATTCCTAATAGGTTTTATTTTATCTTATTTTATTTTATCTTTTGGCTGAACTGGGGATTGAACTCAGGCCCTTGTGCTTGCCAGACAAACGCTTATTCTACTGAGCTATCTCCCCAGTCCCTAAAAGTCGAGAATGATTTTTTTTGGCTGGCTCAGGCTGCCTTAAGGGCGGGTCTGGTAATGCAGGTGGAGGTGGGGATCGAACCCACATATCCTTCACTTGACTGCATTTGCATGAGCAGGTGCTTAAACAACTGAGCTAACGGGCAGATCTCTTATTTTATTTTTTTTTAATAGGTTTGTTTTGCCTACTTTTTTTTATCAAAAAAGCAGCATACACTATACATTGTATGTTTCCAGTTTCTTCTAGTTAACATTACTTTGAGATTCATCAGTGTTCATTAGCAATTTCTCATCAAAACAGCAATTTTTTCTTTTATTTACGTCTTTATGGGCTCATGGTTTCCTCTTTTATTAGGTGTATTACTATTAATATTTTGATGCTGAAATTGCTTCTAGCTGTGTGATCTAGACCAAGTGACTTCATTTTTTTCTGAGCCTCAATTTTCCTCTTCTGCAAACGGGGGCCAGAAGAGTTAGCTTGCTAGGCCACCATGAGGATTGAATGAAGTCCTGTGCGTAGGTGGGAGCTGGCCCAGTGCCTGGCTCCGAGGATGCCGCCATTGGCTGATCACTCTTTGCTCTGCTGAGAGATGTGGGGGCACATCCTAGGTTTCTCCGAGGGTGGAGGCAGGCTTAGCTTCTGGGATGCTTCTGGGAGCTTGTTCCCTCTCTAGTCCCCTACCCCAGCCCAGATAAGCGGTGGATGAACAAATGTACGAGTTGTGTTCCAGCTCCGTGAGTCTGGAAGACTGGCTGGACTTCTCCAACATGAATGTGGAAAGGGCTGACAAGCAGCGCAACAACTCCCTGACCCTGAAGGCCTTAGTGGACCGAATCCTGTCACAGACTGCCAGTGACCTGAGAAAGCAGTGTGACGTTGTGGACACAGCTTTCAAGAATGGGCTCAAGGAGACCAAGGATGCCAGGGACAAGCTGGCTGTTCACTTGGCCAAGGTGAGGTCCCCAGGGCACTGGGGAAGCTTTCTCCATGGAAACAGGAGTGTCCCCATGGTGAGGCTGTTGCCCTGCTGGGCTTGCATTGGTGGGGTAGCCGAGAAATAAGACTTAGTCACATCTCTCCGTCTTAGCAGTAGGCTTTGGGCTCTGGAGGACTAGGTGGGACTTTGCCCCATTCTGGGGCTTCATTGTCATTCGCGGCTGCCAGAGGTGCACCGAAGCTGGAGGTGGGAGGGGGAGGCTTGGGGACTGGCCACAGAAATGTGCCTCGCTGTCTGACCTCAGGCACTCTGGGCCTTGGTTCTTCCTTTTATGACATGTAGACATGGACAGGCTGGCATCTGACACCCTTTGTGCCTCTGAATTCCCATGAGTTGATGCCACCCATTTCTCCAAATGCAGCTACCCCTTGGTCTCTGGCCAGGTGTCCTTCCTGCCATCCAGTAATATGTGGGTACCTGAACTTTTAGAGGGTCATATAAAGAAAAAGGCTCGGAGTTGTAGAATTTGCCCATTTCCACGGTTTAAGTACTCCTGCTGTGGTCGTTTCTTCAGGTTACCTGTTAGGCACCAGGTTCATGGCTGAGTACTTAACTGGAGCAGCTCCAGCCCGCCTTCCTCATTGCCCACGAGCCGGGGTCGAGTGTAGAGGAGCAGCCCGCAGGCGAAGCTCAGGGACACTGAGAGGCAGTTTGTGAAACAGTAGCACACATGGCGTGAAGAGGCGGGGGCAGTGATGGCCACTGGGGGATGGAAGCAGATCGTTCAAGCTGCATGAGCCCCTTGCCTCAGCTGCAGCAGGAGATAATGCTGGGGGCTCTGCAGAGACTCCAGGGCAGTATGACCAGTGAGATTGCAATGCAAGCCACCTGTGTCCTTTTACGTTCTCCAGTGGAGACACACACCTGTGAATCCAGCACAGGAGGCTGAGGCAAGAGGCTCACTGTGAGTTCAAGGCCTGCCTGGGCTACATAGTGAGTTCTGGTCTAAAAAAAAAGTGAACTCACTTTAGGATATTTTAATCTGTTGTATAAAATATTATCATTTAACATGTTATGATGCAATTCATGATATATCTTACTTTTTTGAAACAAAAACCCTAAGTATTCAAAATCTGAGGTATTCCCTTGGTGTCTTCAGGGTGCTGGTCTCAAGATTCAAGGATGCCGAGGTCTCTTCAACAAAGCGGCATAGTATTGGCATAGAATCCACGCAATCCACCCATACACTTTAAAGCACCCCTAAATGACTAAGGATACCTCATGCAAATGCTACATACGTGTTGTTATACTTCATTGTTCAGGGAATAAATGAGAAGAAAAAAAGTCTGTCCATGTTCAAGACAGATGCCACTGTATTTTGAATGTGCATTTTTTTTTTTTTAAAAAAAGGTATATCAAGGAGAACTTTCATATCCCATTTTTGAAATACAGAAACAGAAGTCCAGCGAAGTTAGAAATCTAGTCTACAGACCTCAATCTGGTACAGGGCAGGGCGGGCTCAAATCCTGTTTCTGTGACTCAGAACTGGGGCTTTTGAATGTTTCCTCTTGCAGTTGGCTGGACTGTGGATGCCAGGGATGGTCACCTGACATGAGCTGCGCAGCTCAGGACCGGGCACAGTTCACGTGCGTCCTAGCTGTGGTGACCATCGTTGCTACGGCAGCCTTCCTGTGGAAGGGCACAGGGAGGTTTATCAGAGTGGGCAGGGCTTAGAGATTATGGCCTCAGGTCAGACAGAGCCGTGAAAGCGAACCCAAATGTAAAATCTTGAAATCATTTTAATTTTTTGTATCCTCAAGCTGCAGTTTTCCTTTCTTTCTCAATTTTTATTTTTTGAATACTTCTGTGCAGTGCATAGTAACTAAATTCCTGATGGGAGCTGTACATGTATATCACACATCTAGTGTTTTTCTGCTTTTTTTTTTCTGTCACTGTGCCCTCCCCTTCCTTTCTCACTCTATCTCTTGGTCCCCTCCCCATTTGCAAACGTTCTATCTATTGCCCATTGACTAGCTTTTATTCTGCAACTTATATTTTAGGTTTCTTACATAAAAGAAACTGTGTGCTACCTAAGTTTGTGTGTCGGTTTCGCTTCAGTCAACATTATGGCCTCAAAGTGCATCCATTTTCCTATGATTCAAACTTATCTCTCTTTATGGCTGAGTAGTACTCCACTGTGCATAACTACCACATTTTTAAAATTCATTCATCTTTGATGAACATGTAAACCACTTCCAGGATTTAAGTATTATAGTTGTGCTGCTATAAACATGGGTGTGCATGGATCACTATAGTATGATAGCGTCACACTTTTGGGAATATGCTCAGCAGAGTTATAGGTAGGTCAAATGGAACTTTTTCTTTCCTTCCTTCCTTCCTTCCTTCCTTCCTTCCCTCCCTCCCTCCCTCCCTCCCTTCCTTCCTTCCTTCCTTCCTCTCTTTCTTTTTTTTTCTCCTCCTCCTCTTTCATCATTATTATTTTTTTTTTGAGACAAATTCTTGCTCTGTAGTTCAGGCTGGTCTTGAACTCACCTTGTAGCCCAGGTTGTTCTCAAACTCACAGAATTCCTCCTACCTCCTCCTTGCAAGATCTGGGATTACAGCTGTGCACCATCATGCCCAGCAGGAGTTTCTATTTTTTTAGTTTTTTGAGGAATCTCCCTATTGATTTCTGTAATAGTTTTATGAGTTTGCATTCCCGCTAGAAATGTGGAAAGGTCCCATTTTCCCTGCAGCCTCACCACCGCATTCGTTGTTATTTGATATCTTGATGATGGCTATTCTTTCTGGGGTAAAATGAAGCCTTGGTGTGGTTTCAATTTGCATTTCTGTAATGGCAGAGATGTTAAATATTTTTTGTGTATTTATTGGCCATTGTACCTCTTTGAGATGCATCTGTTCAATAATTGGCCATTTTTTGATTGGGCTTTTTATTTTAGAGGGGTCTAATTTTTTACATTCTTTATATATTTTAGACATTAGTCTTCTGTCTGAGGAGTAGCTGGTAAAAAAAATTTTCCCATTCTGTAGGTTGTTGCTTCATTCTGTTGGTTGTTTTCTTTGCTGTTCAGAATTAAATTTATATGATTCCATTTGCTGATTTTTCATGTTATTTTGTGTTTAATTTGGGCTCTTTTCAGAAAGTCCTTGCCTACACCTATGTCTTCATGAGTTTTACATGTCTTCCAGAATATCTGAAATCATTTTCGGGGCTGGTGAGATGGCTCAGTGGTCTAAAGCACCTACTTGGAACAAGCTTAGCAAAGCACAGGGACTGCGGTTCAATCCTCCAGCACCACATGCCAGCCAGCCCTGCCCCCTGGTGGGCTGAGCTGGCCACACACACACACACACACACACACACACACACACACACACATAAATAAAAAAAATAAAATTTGAAATCCTTTTCATATTCAGAAGAATTGAAGTCTAAGAGACAGATACAAATGTACATACATACACACATACATACAAACATACACACATACATATATACAAGTTAGAAGATGTTGGGAACTAGCAAGGAAGATCACTTAGCCAAAACATTTCAAATCTAATCAAGAGACATAGCTACTTGAATGGAAGTGGCCGGATTCCATTGTGAGCAGAAGCATTAGGGAGTGTATGCTTTTAGTAACTCTGAGATCCTCCATTAGGAGGCCACCAACCTAGGTTCTGTGAGAAGAGTTCACCTGGTCCTCATCTTGCTAGAAACCTCCTTGGGCAGGAGACTTAGCAAGCTTAAAAGACAACTTCCTGTTAAATGGTAGGTTGACTTATTTTTTATTTGTGATGACACAATTGTTTTTTCCCTGGGCAAAGCATATTTTAACCTCAAGGAGATCTACATGTAACTATGGGAATGTTTAAGTTAATTTAACACAGAGACAAGGCAGGCTTTTTTTTTAATATATAAAAGGTAAAATAGTAAATATTTTAGGCTTTGAAGGCCAAGTGGAAAAAGTCATGGATATTATGTTGGTATTTATGCAATAAGGGAGAAAATAAATTTCCATGAATTCTTCATTGACAGAATTCAAAGTATACTACTAATAATTGAGTATAAGTTTTTTGTAATACAGACATGATAGTATATGAGGTAAGGATAACACCTTCTTTTGAATTCATCAAAGTTAGCATTTTCCATAACACCAATTGCAAACATTCATTAATGTTGACTTGAATGAGGTTTTACATAATTCACCTTTGAGCCTGTCTTTTTACTCAGATAGGTACTGCCAAATTATGATAACAACCTATGAGCATATTATTTTGATGGAATATGTTCAGTCTTTGGAAGACATTGATAAAATGCCATTAGATTCTTATCCTAATACTGATCCTTTAGTATGTCATTACATGTCAGATTAATTCTTTTCCAGTTGAAAGCTAAATATAAGATCATTAATTGCACAGTTAAGTAGATTTTGAAATATGGGAATTTTTTTTGTACCTACTTTGAAATCCAAAAAGCAGTGTTAAAATTTGGAAAATATTTGTTGCAAATTTGCATGGGATAGAGGTAGGAAGTGTGTCAAACAGCTTGATAGTGTGGGTAAATAAAACCATGTTGCTTGTTGCAATGACTTTATTGCATTATGAACTTTGCATATAAGCGCTGTCTTCTTGCCTTGTGACTTTACATTGGATTGAGGAAGAAAGATTTTTAAATAAGTCTGAAGCAGAAACTGATTTCCAAAGCCATTCAGTATTTGCTAACAGTGGGAGAGGGAAGTTCTTCTTATT